TGATTGCAGTGCTCCACATGTCCAGGCCTGACAGAAGGTCATCCTGGCTGTTGTGCAGCTTTTAAACCCTGATAGGTGCCCCATCAAAAGGCCGTATTGCTGAATTTCACTAAATCTTTAAAGAAATTATATCAATTCTTCTCAAAATATTTCAAAAAATTAAAAGAACAAGAATTGTTCTAAATGGATCATACCATGCCCTCATTTTCATGATACAAAAACTAGACAAGAAATCACAGAAAGTAGAATATAGACCAGAATTCTGGATGCACATAAGTGAAAATTTTTTTAACAAAATATAAGAAAATCAAATATAATGGCACATTAAGATACATGTATGTATATGTAATGGTCAAATGGAATTTATCCAAATGATGCAAGGATGAAAACCAATAAATGTAATTCATCAAATCAAAAGAATAAAAGATAAAAACCATACAGTCACCTCGCTAGAGGCAACAAAATATTTGAGAAAAATTCAACAGCCCTTTATTTTAAAAGTCTTCAACATTGCTTCTCGGTCTTTTGGCTAAGATTGGGGTGAAAGTGCTCAACAAACTAGTTTTAAAAAATTACTTTAACACAATAAGGACTGTATGTGACAAACCTACAGGCAACATCATACTGAACAGGGAAAGGTGAAATTGTTTCCACTAAGACCTAGACCAAGAAAAAGATGTTCATTTCACTGTTCTCATACAATATATTATGGGAAGCCTCAAAACACCAGGCATGAGAAAGAAATAAAGGACAATCAAATAAAAACATAGGGAGTAAATTTATCCTTTTTCAGAGATGACATGATTTTATATCTAGAAAAATCTTCATTTAAAAACTTAGAATAAATTCAGTAAATTTGAGGAAGCAGTAGCATTTTTGTACACACAAAATGAATTTTTTCAAAAAGAAACCAAGAAAGCAATCTCACAATAGCCATTAAAATAAAGTGAAACACCTATCAATATATTTAACAAGTAAGGGGAATGATCTCTACAATGAAAATGACAAAACACTGCTGAAAGAAACTGAGAATGGAAAAATTGTGAAGAGATCCCCTGTTCATGGATTGGAAGAATAAATAATGCTAAAATATCAGTCCACAGTACCTAAAGAAATTCATGTAGTCAGTGCAATCCCTACCAAAATATCAATAGTATTCTTCACAGAAATAGAAAAAAAAAGCCAAAAAATTCACATAGAAAAACAAAAGACCTCAAATACCCAAAGCAATATTGAACAAAAAGAGCAAAGAAAAAACACACTACAAAGTTATAGCAGCCAAAACAGCATGGCTCTGACACATAAACAAATGTAACAGAGGAGAGAAATCAGCTGCAAATCCACATATCTACATGCAAGTCATCTTCAACAAGGTGTCAAAAACATACATTTGGAGAGAGTACAGCAATAGGTTGTGGGAAAACTGAATATCCATGAGAATGACACCAAACTTGTATCTTTCACCAATTACCAAAACCAACTCAAAATAGGTCAAGGACCTAAATGTACCAGGTGTAACCAAAATATGGGAAATGTTTAAATTTTTAAAATTTATTAGAGGAAAAGACACATGCCATTAATCCCTCCTCAAAATAATCCCCTCACTTTAAACACACTTATGCAATCATTCTTCTCATTTTCTGAAGCATTTCTGAAGTCCTCTTCTGTGTGTTTAGGAGGTGTGATAAAAAGAAGGGAAGGGAAGGAGGGAGAAAGGTAAATGGAAAAGGAAGAAAGGAAGGAAGGGAGAGAAGGAGGAGGGAGGAAGGAAGAAGGGAGGCAGGCAATCAGAGAAGCTTGCAGAGCCCACCCTTGAGTGGAAGACAGGAAAACAGCAAGATTCCTCTGGTCACAGCACTGGAAAGTGTTCCACCACTGATTCCAACACAGCTAGTGACACCAAGACAAGAACAGTGTCAATTCCCCATGCTTTAATAGGAGAAGAAAACAACCAAAATGTCTCCTGAAGCAAAAGAGTTAAAAACCAGTGAGAAGATGCCTAAAGATGAAAGGAAATCCATCATGCCTCACAAAACAAAGATAGCAATGGGGTCAGGAAGGGAAACCTAAAGTCCATGTTGCCAAAGGGGTGGAGCATGGCCCCACAGGAGCTGAACCTCGCTGCCATTAATGACAGAAGCATGGTGAGAAAGACTCCACGATCAGAAGAGATAATGTCAAGGAAACCCGAGTTCACATCACTTACTACCCTGCAAAAAGAGCCCAGATTTATCTGAAGTGGTGGAAATGAGGGAATCCCAAATATTAGTGCTGACTTTGTTAACTATAAAAACAGCGAACAGGGCCAGGGATTTAGCTCAGTGGTGCCAACAACCGCCTCACAAGTAGAAGGTCCCTAGTTTGATCCCCCATACCAAAAAAAAGATGATAGATAGATAGATCCTTGATTGTCATAAGAAAGAGAACAATCTCACTCCATCCAAAAAAAAGAATATAATTTACAAGCGATATGGAAAGGGAAGAAGCTACAGGAAAAGTCTTGTGCTCTGAACTGCAAACTTTTTCTAAGGAAGCAGGAGCTGGTGCACATACTCAGCATCCACAGGGGAACACACAGCCCCCAGCAGGCAATGGCTGAATGCTTTAAGGAGCAATACAAGATTTTCCTCACATTTCAGGTCACCAAAAGCCACTAGTTTCCCATGAGATTGATCCACCTTTCTCTCCTGGAGGAACACAGGCATCAGTACCTAGATGCTCTGCTGTGTGAACTGACAATCATTTACCATCGGCTGGGAGAATTTGGACTTGGCAATTCAGAAGAAAATGTGCAGGTGTCACATTTATTGAGAGAACTTAAGGAACTCTCCGTTGAGGTGAATGAAGCAGTAGCCTTAATAAACTCTGGGAAGAGGTCCAGAACCTGGGATCCTCACTTTAGATACTGTGTTAAAAGTATAGCTATTTGGGGCAGGGGGGTAAGCATGTTTGATACTTAAAACATAAAACTTTTTCAAGAAGAAAGAAGAAAGAAAGGATAAATGTTTAAAGATCTGGAGGTGATAATTAATTAACCTGATTTTATCAGAACATGTTGTATCAAAATATGCTGTTGGCCAGGGATTTAGCTCAGTGGTGCCACTTCCTGCCTTTCCAGTGGAAGGTCCCAAGTTTGATCCCCGGTACAAAAGAATCTTTGAATAAAAATATTTCATTGTGCCCTATGTACATGTACAAGTAAAATAATAATAAATGACATTCAATTTAAAAAGGAAAATAAACAGATAAATGAATAAATATTTGTGCATGAAATGGAGGGGGAATGTGGGTGTGTGCCTGATGATTATCACAGTTAGCTGACAAAGCATTTTCTAAATTCCAATATAAATCGGACAAGTTAATAACTTAAAGCTCGCCCTCAAAGTTCTCCCTCCCACAGGTTGACCAGCAATACTCCATAAAACAGGTCAGGTAGGTAAGTAATAGGACAGACCTGCCAGTGATCCAGAAGCCACTGCACCATGGGCATCTCTGCATTCAACCCCACCAGATTCCCAGGAAGCATTTCTGGGCTCCTCCAAGTGGCCTCCCTGCTCGCCCTGCTTCTGCTACTGTTCAAGGCAGCCCAGCTCTACCTGCACAGACAATGGCTACTCAAAGCTCTCCAGCAGTTCCCGAGTGCACCCTCCCACTGGCTCTTTGGGCACAAGGTAAGGAAGGGGGATAGCAGGGAAGCCGGGGCACTCAGCCTAGCCAGCAACCCACAGGACAAACCTACCATGTAGCAGTCATGTGGTACTCAGGGAGCACCCAGCTCCTCTCAGGCTGGGCTCATCTCGGCCTCAGGGATCTCACTCCTTCACAAGAAGCTGGTCCAGCTGTTGCTTGGGTCTGTCACCTGCTCCTTCCTTGTGCAGATCTGTCACCGGTGGTGTTAGCCCTGCACTTGGAGGGGCTATGGCTGGCCCTTCCTGAGATTCATCCTTTCCAAGGTGAACTCCCCCAGCTCCCTCAGCTTCTCTCAAAAAACTTGCCCTTATTTATTTTATTTTGAGACAGAACCTTGCTTAGTCTGAATTGCCCGGGCTGGGCTCAAACTTTCCGCCCTGCCTTAGGATCTCAGAGTGCTGGAATCAGCCAGGTTTCTAAGTGTTTCTGGCTTAGAACTATGCTTCCACCCTGCTCCGGTCATTTGATGCCAACCTCTATGCATGGGCCTGAGTTTGCCTGGGGATACAGATATCAGGGTGATGGGATCCCGGCCCTGAGGGGTTCATGGTAAAGATAAATCTCAGGAGGTGTCAGGCCACAAGCAAACTCTTAACAGGTAGAGTTATGATGTCAGGTGGAGGGACCAACTAGCTAGATTTGCCCAAAACTGAAAGGATCTCCAAAATGGGTGATATTGGAGGCTAATATCCTGAAGGTCATGGGCAGCACAATTCCTGCTGATGAAGAAGACTGACATTAGAGTTGCTCATTAAGCAGTGTTTTTAGCTACCAGCTTGGCCTCCACTCTCCTTGTGCTATGAGATCATTGGAGCTGGCAAAGGTTGTTGAGTCACCAAGGAAGGAGAGAAGGGAGCAGCCTGGGGGCTGCGGAGAGACAGCATTGACTCCCTGCAATGCCACCTCTTGGCTAGATAAGGGACTTCAGGGAGAGGAGCTCAGCAAGGGGTTGTGCATTGAATACACTTAAGGGGAGATGAAGGATATGGAGCTCAGAAGGAGAACTAGGCCTCTTATACACCTTGCTTCTCTCAGACAGCTTCCATCTAATGGGGCACAGATTCTGGCTTAGGGAAAGCCCCAGAAATAGAAAGAAAAGGGGAAGAGGGGAAGGGCAAATGAGAGGAATAAGGGAAAGGAAAGAAGGAAATGGAATTAATATGAGAAAATGAAAAAATGGAAACAAAGTCTTTCTAAGTAGGGAGGGGTGGCAGAGTTGGAGGGAGGGGAGGGGAATAGGGAAAAATAAGAACCAAGATATGTTACTTAAAGGTACAGATTACCAATGGTGAATGTCATTATATTATATACAGTAAATGTATCAATAAAATTAATTTTTTAAAAACCAGCAAAGTCTGGATAACAACACAGATAGGTTATGCAATCATCAAATTGCTGACTTTTGTTGAATGATCCGCAGCTCCGTCCCTGTGGTAGTCCTGCCTTTCACTCTACTGCAAGGACTAGAACTAAGCAAAAATCCTTGCTGAGTTCTTTCCCTTGGTGACAGGTCCACCCCGACCAGGAGCTGCAACAGGTGCTGAAATGGGTAGAGGAATTCCCAAGTGCCTTTCCTCTCTGGTTCTGTGGAAGTAGAGCTCACCTGGTAATCTATGACCCTGACTACATGAAAATGGGGAGATCAGGTGAGAATGAAGCCTCTTTCTAGCAAGAGAAGTTCCTTGCTCTATAGTGTATGCCCTTGACCTGTCAATTTCCAGAATAGGAGGACACTTTGGCCATCATCCCTGAACACTTCCCATCATTCACCCAGACCACAACTCAGCACATGCCCAGCAATTCTTCCTCACTACTGAAGTTTTAAAACAGTTGTGTGAGACCAATTTTCTTTCTTTTCCTTTCTTATTTTAATCAGATCAAGGAATCCATTGTATAAATTGTTCTAAGTCTGAAAATCAAACCGTATCTATACCAATTTGGGTTTGAAGCCTTTAACTGTCACTTGTCTTATGTCATAAAATGACTGAGCCAGCATCCATACTAGAAAAACAACAAGAGGGGCTGGGAATTTGGCTCAGTGGTTCCGTGGCCTGCTTTGCAAGTCCAAGTGTCAGAGTTCAATTCCCTGTTCCACAAAAGAAAGAAAGAAAGAAAGAAAGAAAGAAAGAAAGAAAGAAAGAAAGAAAGAAAGAAAGAAAGAAAGAAAGAAAGAAAGACAACAAGCTCTGTTTTATTCCCTGGCAATGAGGATGCAGCCATTGTTTCTCCCCGGTTCCCCATCACAGTCCTGGGAGTGTTCATCTTCTAGTACAAGAAGCCTACCTTCCTGAGACAAACTGAGAGTCAGGACAGACTTAGAAGGGATTGGAAGCAATGGGAGGTAACATGGCACAAACTGCCAACCGGCAGGCATCAAGAATTCATGACAACCCGTGGCCTGAACATCAGTTTCCTCAGGGCCACATTATTTGGGCCTCGGTTTCCTTGCTTGTCTTTCAGATCCAAAGGCCAATTCTGCCTACAGATTCCTGGCACCCTGGATTGGTATGTATATCTAAGATACGAGCACAGTCCCTGCCCAGTAAGTTTCCCAAGCACCATGTCTCTGGCTTATAGAGGACAACGGATACCCAGACACCACTGTCGTGAACCACTCCTCTATCAACCCTCACTGTTCTTCTTCTCATCAGACTCTTATTCCCTCCTAATGCTGAAATGAGTCCTCCTGAAGCTCAGCTTCTGCCACATCTCTTGAAATATTGCCAGCCTGGCATCTATTTATGCCCCTCCTTGACCTGCCCTCAACACTTTTTTAACCTTTATCTAAGAGTTGCCATAATCACAGCAGATGGACCAACACAAGTGGGAAATCCACATTCCTGAATGTATGTGTCCTTCCTGCCTTGTCCTAGAAATTCCGCCTTCTGAGGGTTGTCTGCACCAGTTCCACAGCACAGTTCCTCCCAAATTATCCAGGGATCTGATTCTGTCACACACTCACACACACACACACACACACACACACACACACACAAACACCTATCTCTGCCCAGGGTATGGTTTGCTCCTATTGAATGGCCAGACGTGGTTCTAGCACCGGCGGATGTTGACCCCAGCCTTCCACTATGACATCCTGAAGCCCTACTTGGAAACCATGGCTGACTCTGTTCGAGTGAAGTTCATGAGTCTCTCTCTTGCCAAGTTACGCTGCCAAACAACAGAACTACTTGTCCCTGGCAAGGGAGCGGCTCATCAGTCAGGACTCTCCTCTGGAGATCTTCCAACACATCTCCTTGATGACACTGGACTCTAGTGCGCCTTCAGCTACCAGGGCAGTGTCCAACTGGATGGGTCAGTGGTAGGCCTTTGGCTACAAGGTTCTTATTCTTGCTACTGATATGGACTCACCCGAGAGGCAGGTGGGGGAGCTAACCTGGTACAGTCAACCACATTTGCTTTGCGCTATTCCTACTACAAAGCAAGATTCTGGCTCTAGCCCTAGGCCTACTGTAATTTCAGTCTAGATCCAACCCTACCCCAGATACATAGCTCTGATTCCCAGCATGCCTGGAAGCCCAGATGCTCCTGTCATCTTTTAAAGGCCCAAGGACCACAATGGCTGTAAGACAGAAGTAACACATGCTTCAGTGCTGCGTGTCCCCACCTTTGAGGGAATTACCACTCTACCATCAAGTCAGACCTCCTAAATGACAGGCTCTGCACTGGGGCTCAGGTACCAGTGCCTGACCAGCTTAGAACAGGGCCGGAGTCCACATCTCACTGCACTGTCACTGTCTGGCCCAGGAAATGCTTTGGGAAACAATTTGCCATGAATGAACTGAAGTTGGCTGTGGCCCTGACCCTGCTCCTTTTTGAGCTACTGCCAGATCCCACCAGGGTCCCCTTCCCAATACCACGACTTGTGTTGAAGTCCAAGAATGGGATCCATCTTCATCTTCGGAAGCTCCACTAACCCTGGTGAGTCAACAACAGGCTCTGAGGGTCTCATGCCTACTATCTGGTCTTCCTGTCACCTGCTTCTCTCCCCAGCCTGTCCATTCATCTGCTTTCTACCTGCTCACCTTCCTGTTGTCCTGCCTCCTTTCTGTCTGCCCTTCTCTCTCTCACTTTTCCTTAGGCTCCTTACCAGTTTGCCTGTCTACATATCTTCTTCCTGCCTGCATCTCTCACTGCCTATCTACGCCCTGATCACCTGCCTATCCTTCAGCCTACCTACCACTCTACCCGTTTTTTCTTTTTCTACTTGCTTTTTTTTTCTATATGAGCTTCCTACTGCTTCTATAATCAACTACCACAACCTTTATGGTTTTAAGTAACAGAAAGCTATTCTCTTATATTTCTGGAGCTCAGAATCTGAAATGGGTATCACTGGGAGAAGATCCAGTTGTTGATGTGGCCGACCGCTTCTGCAGGGTCCAGGAGAGAACCTTTCTGCTTGCCTTTCCACTCTAGAGATGAATTCTTTGCATTCCTTGAACCTGTCACTTCTTCTTTCTTTAAAGGATAATTTACCCATCTCAAAATCTTTTACTCAACCTGTCAACCTTTAGAGTTCCTTTGACATATGAGATAACATATTCATGGGCTTCAAAGTTGAGGCCTGGGACATCCTTGGAAGACATTATTCAGCCTGGCATTGTCCCTCCCCAACTATCATCTGATTTCTCTCCTGCATGGTCTCTGTCTACCTGTGTGTCTCTCACTCAAGCCTTTCCATCTCCCTCGTTCCTGAAATAAAGTTCTTAATGCCACATGGAATGTCTTGTTTCCTTTGAAGGATATAACAGGGAAAAAGAGACAGAGGGAGAGGAGACAAGTGCCTTCTGAGGAAGGAGGAGATGACAAGAGGCTTGTGGTACCAGTACTTCTGCCGGGCCCGATGCAGCCCACCATCTTTGGGTGGCCTCATCATGCCCCACAGTAGCTCAGCTGCTGAGGCTGCAGTAGCTGAGTTTAAACAGAGGGCTTTTCTCTGGGACCTCAGACAGAGAAGCTTACATCTGTCAACGCAAGAGACAAGGCCTCCAGTATAGTCAAGGACTAACATTTCTTGTACTCGATTTTTCAGAAGAGGTTCCAGCTAGATCCCATCTTGAGCTGAGTGGGAAAACTTCAGGTCTGATCTAGCATGGGGGTCCCAGGACCTTGTCCTTCACTCAGATGAGATGTGAGAAGAGAGCCCAGCCTAGCCGTGTCACCGAGTCATCTGTCCACCTCCCTCACATATAGGATCTAGAAACTCCTCAGGAGGGTTGGGGAGTGGACAGCTGTCTGTAAGGGCTGGGAGGGGCCCAGGCCCTTGGGAGAGGATGTCAGAACCCAAGCAGCTCCTGCCCCACAGGACAGCCCCATGGCAGTCTCCCTGGTTGGCCACCCCGTAGGAGGAGAGGCAACACCAGCCCTGCCCATACTTGGTGAGTGCCAGGATGCAGGTATTTCTGAGCCGAGTCCTGATCCCTGCTCCCATCCATTTATGTATCCCCACAAGAGTTGTCTTGCTTCTGTTAGCCTTCATTAAACCAGACCCTGAATCTTTGCTTGTCCTGAGCATAGATTTCCCTCTTGCCTCAAACAGTTCTGAGGCCAGGGCCCTGGATGCTATAGACAGAACTTCCCAGAGTCCTCTGATGCCCTCAGTTTGTTATGGTCTATATCTTCTACCCAAGTTGGAATCTGCAGTCAAGACCTCTGTCCCACTCTCCTGGCCTCCTAAGTCACTGGGCTCCTGTGGTCTTGCTCTGCAAAGAGACAGGAGAGGGCAGGCTGGACTCTTGACCAAGGGAGAAGGGAAAGTAGGGCAACAGAGTTAGCTGGGAACGTACAAACAAGATTCCCAGGAGGGTCCCCAGCATCAGATGGTGCCAGAGGTGATGCTGGCCATGCTCAGAGAGCACAGGACAATAAAAGCTCAGAATTCTGGGTGTCCAGCTACAGGAGGCCAGCTTGAAACTGCACTAAGAAGGCTTTAAATTATTATTGAGTTGGCTTATAATTAGGCTGTTAATTAAAATTATGACTCAATCCAAAGCCCATGTGTGTCTTGCCAAATGAGCCTTTGCCTGGCATACAGAGCCAAACTTCCCTGTGCCAATGGTCACCGTTGAGATCTCAATGATTGATGATACTATGATGTTTCTATGGGCAAGAAGACACTACGGCTGAGGAATTGTGACACTGTGCAGCCATTCTCCCAGATCAAATGTTAGTTAAAGATAATACAGGTGTTTCTTTACACTTTCAGTTTCTCACACTAGAAAATCTATTCAGTATTTACATGTGTATCCTATTTATTTTACTTATGAGTATGGCCTCAGTGTGCATCCATTTAGCCATAAATATCTCTTATTTCTCATTCTTTATGGCTGAGTCATTATATTTTATACCTTAAAGGTATCGATAAAGATAATTTTTTGAATAAAAGAACATACAGGTGCCTTGCAAACTGTGACCTGCAAGATAACACAGGTGGCTTGTTAACTGTGACCTATCCTTTGCAAAAATACAATCATTCCTCCCTTTTACATCCAGGTTCATTCATTCCTTAGGTCCCACTATTCCTTACATCTACCTTTATACCCCTTGCTATGTTGTAAAATTACAAATACTGACAAATCCAGAGCTTGCAGTCTTATCCAGGAGAGCTAAGATCAGGTGGTCTTATCCAGGAGAGAGGTAAGATCAGATCCCAGCCCCCCAAATAATAAATTATCATTTATTCTTATTCTTGATCCTTTGTATATTATTCTTTCATCTCTGCTGTACGCTCATCAGGTGATTGAGCATTTCCCGATAGTTCGTCAGGCATTCCCTGACAGCCCGCCAAGAGCGTGTGCTACAGCTACAGGATTCCACAGGGTGTGAAAGTGTGACTGAGAAGTGACCTTGCTGCCTCCAAGCAATGAGCAAGGCCAAGGTTGAGACCCATTTATATACACATCCCCCAAATACACACAAAGAGAGATATGTAAGCCTCTCCTGTATGCACATTCACTGCACACTCCACACTCTACTCACACACATTCCCAGGGTCACAGGAGGCAGCAGAGTGTGTGTGAAGATCTAGAAGGTTCAAGGAGAACTCATCCATGGTGCCTACCAGGCACAGCCTCCATCCTCCCTCCTCCAGAAAGCCTCTCTCCTCTCTAGCACCAGAGCGCTTGTGTCTATTTCCCACCAACACACACCCCCAAAAGTACATCAGTACTAACTCTGGATTCTTGGTTTAAAGACACCAGAGGTCTCCTCTTCACAGGCTACTTCCCTTAGTACTGAAATGGGATCATAACCTATTCCCATTAGGACAGCATCAACCCTGCCCACACTTGGTGACTGTCTGGGTGCCGAAGGTCCAAAGAGATTTAGGAAATCAATAGAGTTATGCTCAGGTGCAACCCCAGGGGCTCCAGGTGGTTAAAACCTCAAGGCTTGGTTCCCACCTAGTGCACAAGGTGGTCGTAATTGGAGGCTCAGCTCCCACTCAGGGGCACGAAGTGGTGATCACTGAAACTTCATCTTCACTTGTACAGAGAGCAGTCTAGTGAGATGCTGGAACACAGGGTGGTGTTGGTAGCATGGGGCACAGAACAGACAGCCAAGAGGCACACCCTGGATGGGAACTCTGCATCATACACATTTGGGCAAGAAGGTTTGCATCTTCAGCAGATGGCCTATGTCAGGTCGACCAGGGCTGTCACCTTCCAAGTAAAGGATTTCTTTCCAGATGGCACACCCTCAGGGATCCATAGAAACATCACCAAGTTCCAAGGCTAGAATTCCTCTCTCCTGCCCCCCAACTCCAGCCTCAAGTCCTCTTGCTCTAGCTCTCTAATGCCTGGACTGGAGCCTGCTAGTGGCCTTATACTTTGAACCCTGGAAGTGTATGTGCCCACAGCCATCATGCAGCTGCTTCAGGGGCCGCCAGTGAAAGACCACTAAGTCGCTATGGGACCCCACCCATGAGGTTTCTCCAAAAGTTCTTTGCACCCTCACACTTCGCCCATGACTCAACACCTAATTCAAGGAGGGGGATTTCTTTCTCCCAGGAAGTTCCCCTCTAATGCCAATGTGCTACCTTCCCTGGTCTAACTATGAATTCCCAGGGCAGCATGTGACTGAGGCCCTAATGCTGAGAATGCAGGGATGACACACAGACACATGCAAGGAGGGAGGAAGAGACAAAGGGAAAAAAAAATCCTCCATATTCTTTGACTTTGCTTTAGAATTATTCTTTTTTTTTTTATAGTTCCAATTTACCTTGTTTTTCCTTATTTCAGTTATATTATGCCAGCGGGGAGGGAAACTTCTTCAAGAAAGGCAATCCCTTGAGCTGTCCCACAAATTACACACTACCTGATCACAACCATGAATCCCTCGGCAAAGCTTCTATGGTGTTCACTTTGTCACTAAGGATGGAATCTGCATTCCTCTACATTTCAGAAAGGTTACGGACTATAGAAGGTAAATGAAGTTTCTTGAGATGAGTAAGTGCTCATCTCACTGACTGAGTGAGTGAATGCAACCTTAAACGTAAGTGTAACAAGTATATTTTATAGACATTAGTGTTTCAGTGGCACTGTCCTCCAGGAAGTTGTCTATGCCAGTGCCTATTCCTCTTCCAAACAATAAGCCTCCTGAAGACAGGGAGCCACGACTACTCCACATTCATCTGGACAGTGACGCCCAGTGGGAAAGGAGAGCCTGGGCTGGTTAGGTCCTTGATCTCTGCAGAGCTACTTTCCAGACCCAGGGTCCACTGGCTTCAGGTACAGGTGGATTCCATTCTTGGAGCGCAGAACCAGCTGGGGCATCTTGATGGGCAGCTGCGAGGGGTCGAGGGAGAACTCAAAGCGGAGCAAACAGAGGGCCGTGACCACCTTTATCTCATTCATGGCAAACTGCTGCCCGATGCAATTCCTGCAGCGAGTAGTACAGAGAGGCACTGGGCTGTGAGGTGTCCAGGAGATGAAATTCAATGCTCTTAGTGGCTACCCAAACTCAGTAACCATTTTGCATGTATAACTGGCTGGTAGATTGATTGACCTGCATTTAAGAGATCTTGGGAACATAGTGAAGGCCTCGGCTGAATAGCTGCCTGATGGGGATTGTGGTTTGGGGTCTCTCCTGGATGACTGCCATCCACTCACTTCCCAGGGACAGGAATATAATAGCAAGAACTATGTATCTGAAGTTTTCCAGGCATTTAGGATAACCACAAACCCAACATCACAGAAGACCTCCTTCTTGATATCTCCCCCCACCTTCCTCCTCAATCCTGAGCACCTGGGAATTTGGGGCCTTTCCCTACCTGGGCCCAGCAGAGAAGGGCATGAAGGCAAAGGGATGGCGTCCAGATGCATTCTCAGGAGAAAAACGCAGGGGATCAAAGACCTAAGAAGACAGGCTTTGCCTAAATACCCACCAGGTCCTGGCATGTGCTAGTCCCCCTGGCCCTCTCATCCCCATGTCTGATCTTGGCCCAGAAATCAGGTACCTCAGGGTCAGGCCACACTGCACTGTTCCTATGGAGGGCATAGATGTGCAGAGACACCAGGCTTCCTGTAGACAGAAAAGAGGCTTGGTGACCAGGTGGCCTTAGAGCAGATAGTGCCACCTCCTCACAGGACCTGAATGCTCTACTGCCTCCCTAGCCCCCATTTAACCATTGCCAGTGACCTCAAGCTCTTGACCACACTCAACTCCTCAAAGTATTTTGATAAATCATCCTGTGCGGTTCCTGTAGCCTCAGAAGTGAGATTGACACCTGATACAGACATTTGTGGGATGAAAGAAGAAGAGGAAAGGAGGGATGAACCCACACACACACACCATAAAGTAGGACAGGCTGGAGCTATTATAACCTTTCTACTGTCAATTAACTAACTGTCGAGGAGTTACTATTCATAACATTATGCTATCAATAGTAGTTGCTACAGTTTCACTGAATGTTTACTATATATCAGGCACAGTTCTAAATACAATTTATGAAGACATCACATAAAGGTTTACATGATGTGCATGGCTCCGCATTAACTTCAAGTTATATGAATTATGTCCTGAAGTTATACAGGGCACAACCTGAATATGCACAGCGCTATGCACACCCTTGCTGACCTGTGTCTCTTTAATTAAAACTTTGAAAGGTAAATACCCTTCTCACATCTATTCTGTAGAAGAAGAAATGGAGATTTTGAGGCAGAGTAACTAACTTATATATTCTGGAGGCAGAATCAACCCAGGGCTCTCTGTAAACAAAGCCTAAACTCATCTCCCTTGGTAAAAAGTTTTGGTGAACATCACAGGAGGTGTCAAAGGAGCATCCAGGGGACCCTGATTCTACCCTCTTCAGCCCACTCTCTCCCACCTGCTGGAAGAGAGCGGCCATCCACAAAGTCGACAGGCTTGCTGAGCTGGCGGTACACCTGAGGCACAGGTGGGTAGAGGCGGAAGCTCTCCTTGATGCACATAGTCAGGTAGGTCATCTTGCCCAGATCATCCCTGCCAGCAAACAGAAAACTCAGCCTCTTGTTGATAATTTTCTGTAGGTGACCCTGAAAAGGCTCTATTTACAGGGAGTGGAGTAAGGATATATCAACACTCAGCCCCACCTCCAGCCAAGAATGCTGAATTACTAGAGGGAGCGGGACAACCACAGCCACCCTCACCTTAGTTCCAGGATGGCAATGGGCTGCGCACACCAGACTCCCCCTCAGCCTCACTCACCACTGGAAGGAGTCCTGGTCCCCTAGGATCTCACGAACCTCCTCCCTGCAACGCTGCTGGTGCTCTGGTTGAGAGGCCATGCAGTAGAGAAACCAGGAGATACCACTGGTGGTGGTGTCATGACCTTCGAACATGAATGTGTCCACTTCGGCCCGGAGGTCTTCATCAGACAGCTTGATGCCACTGTCATCCTGGGTCAAGGCATAGCAGAAAGACAAAAGGCTTTGAGTAGGTGCCAAGAACTTGGAAGAGTAGCTGTTGAAAGCAGGCCTGAAAGGGGGAGTGAAATCTGTTTGCACAGTGGGGATTAAAGCTTTTCCTAGGGTCGTATCCTTCTTCTAAGCCCATCATAGATGGCACCTATTCCGTGAGGCCCTGCCTGATCCCTCTGAACAAATGACCTATGACCTTGCCCAGTTGTCAGTTCTGCTCACTTGACACACAGAATCCCATCTAGCAGGAGAACACACCTTGTCTCCATCCACCTGCTGTCCCTTCCAGTACACTGTTAGGACCTGATGGACATCCTAACACAGAAACTGACTTGGCATAGGTGCTCTGTGAGTTTAGGGGGTGGAGGAATAAAGATCCGAATGAAGGAATGAATAAATGAAAGCTAAATTCTGAGATTCTACAATGTCAAGATACTTGGGGATCTCAGAAGTCTAGAAATGTCTCCAGGCTGCCGCTAGGTGACCCAGTCTCCCAGGTCCCCGAATGCCACAGCCCAGCCACACACACTACACCTCTGTACCTTTCTTGGTATGTGTGAAGGGACAAGAAACAGGTGACATTTACTGGAGAAAGGGCAGAATACTTAACAGCCCTTCTGCTGGGCAGCGTGCCCCGTCCTAGCAGGATGGTCTGAGGACCCCTCTGGGAGCAGCTCTCAGGCCGGGGCAATGGGTACTCACCCGAGCACCCAAGAGAATGTCCAAGAAGTCCAGGCGTCTCCGGTTCTGGATATTCTCCTGCTCCTTCTTGTCTTGCAGGGCTGCCTTCCGCTTCCCGATGACATGGTCTAGGTCAGGAGCACAGGAGTCACTGCCTCTGCCCAAAGGGGAGCTAAGGACCTGAAAAGGGCAGGATGCAGAGGGGCCAGGAGGAAGAACCAGGCTTCCTAGCAGCAGGCCCCACAGGAAGGTGCACCTGTATAGTCATGAGCCACCTGACAGGCCCGCAGGAAGCGGCGGCCATGTGGGGTGAGCCAGTAGATGAAGTCGTTGTGGTACTGGAAGGAGTCAATGCGCTGTTGCATCAGCAGTGTGAGGTCAGACACTGCCCGGTAGTAGCTGCTGTCCCTGTGCAGCAAGGGTGGAGGGAAGGACAATTCAGACACTGACCAGGGGCAGAGCCCTTCTGACCACAGCGCTTCCTCTCTTTCCCTTAAGCTCCCTCACTAAGGCAGATGTGTCTCCTCACCCCAACCAAGGCCTGGCAAGACCCCGCCTCCTCTCTGACCAGGCCCAGAAGGAAAATGGGGAGTAATGGGGAGGGAGGAGTATGGCCCGCCCTGAGGTGCCCCTCACCTGTAGCACAGGCCGCTTTCTCCTTTGCCAAAGGTGCACTTCATGAGTGTGTCCAGGGCCATGTGGCCCACATCGCAGAAAATGTCAATGCTTTTATTCTCCTGAGCTTTGTTCTCCCACTTGTCCTGGATCAGAGATAGGAAGCAATGGGGACACCCCACTTTGTCCTCCAGGACCCACATCCTGTCCTCCACCACCAGACCTATCTCCACACCCACACCATCTCTGCCCTGCCCTGCATCCTGCTGGAATGTGGGGCTTGGCAGCCTCTGGGCATCAGACTCAGACAGCAGGATCAGCAGGTACATTGCCCACAGCACCGATGCTTTCTCCTAGTCAGTGAAGCCCAGATAAAGGAGCAGGAGGGCGGAGGGGAGATGAGCTCCCCAGCACGGGGGCGGCGGGTGTTAGTCAAGCCCGCAGTCATTCTGGACAGGAGCTTTCTGCAAGGGGAACGACTAGCCTGGGAAGCACTGGGAATTCTCCAGCCCTGAGACTCTAAGTCTGACTTACATACCTGTTAGAGATGAGTTGTAGCTGCACAGAGAATGGTGGGGGGCGGGGGAGGCACTTTTTAGATGTGAAAGGCTTTCTTGATGCTCTCAATTACAGCTAATCCTCAAATCTGCAATA